ATATATTTATATGTTGGATGTGAGGGCACGCTCGAAGGTGAAAGTGTGTGTCGAGTGAGTTTTCAATATTTGATGCCAAATTTGTGGGCGGGTCTCTTTATATGAGTTTGTAATTTAATGACAGAATATAATATTTATAATTTATTAATGATATAAAATAAATTTGGGAAACGCATCATTCGCTCAAGCGAAAAATACCAATTTTCGCTCAAGCGAGACTTGAGCGAGTGAATTTCCGTGAGTTTTAACGTATTTTCACTCAAGCGAGAGTCAATCTCACTTTCACCCTTGAACGCGCCCTCACATCCTGTAACATCCTAATTCTCGAGTACCTCTACAACTTTTGTCAAAAATTTTATTAATTAAATTATTAAGAATTGGGGAAAGTGACTATAGGGTTTTATGTTGGTTAGATTATTTGTGATTTTTAGAAATTTTCTGGAATTAAAAATAAAAATAAATAAAAAAAATAATAATAAAATAATAATAAAATAATAATAAAATAATAATATATATAAAAAATAAGATTTTGACTTTCAAGAAGACATTCACTCTGCAACTTCCGTAAGTTCTTCCCTTCTCCCATTTTCTCACTTTCTCTCAAACCCTTCTCACTTTGGAGTTTGATTTTGAGGGGAAAATATTGATTTTCTTGAGAAACTCCAAGAGGTAAGTTTGTTTCTCTCAATCTTCTCTACATTTCTACGGTTTTATTTTTCAAAATGGTGCATTTTCAAAAATTTTCCTCACTTGGCTAAGCTTGAGTGGGAGTAGAAAGAGTGTTATTGTAGGTTTTACAGCTAAGACACTAGAATAATACTTAGAATTGAGGATTAGAAGTGATTAAGCTAAAAACCTTAAGCACCCTAATTCGTAAGTCACTGTTCATTGAATTTTGGGACGTTTGTGAACAGAATTAGGAATTAGTATCTTCATAAAAGTTGTAGCCCTTTAAGTTATAGAAATTTAGAAACTTGTTTCACATCAAACGGATATTTGTAGCTCAAGTTATGTTCATTTTATTGTCAAGTGCTATAGCTGTGAAGTTAAGAGGTTGCCCTGTTTCAACAGCCTCGGTTTTTGAATTACTGGGATTGATACGTGTGAAATTAGGACTTGATTTCTTCATAAAAGTTGTAGGAAATTATATTTCCGAAATTTAGAAATTTATTTCATGTCAATACCTTATGTATAGCATGAGTTATAGTCAAATTACCAAGGCATGTTCAGAGTGTTATTGTAGTTGAGCCATGTTGGAAACAACCACTGTAAACTGAAAAACTGCATTTATTCTACAAGGTATTTGAATTTATTTCCTTCATCAATATTGTAGGTAATTAAGTTATTGAAATTTTGGCTCTTACCTCATGCCAAAACAGTTTATATAACTCTAGAAAATTCTGAAATACTGAACCTTGTCCATATTTGTTATTAGGATTCTTCCTACTCTATGTGTATTACTTCCATTACTCTCTTCTACTTGTATTAATTTCATTAACATCAATTTAGGCCCTAGAAATGATTTTATAACTCAAAGAACCATAGTCTTGAATTTTAGAATTTTAGGCTATGAAGGAGGTGAGATTTTAGAGGTCTAATATGGTTGGAATTAAGGATTTAATTGGGGTATTTAATTGGCATGTAGGAGACTACTTAGAGGTGCAAAAAGGAGACCCAAAGACTTGATAGATTATTTGATCAAGAGTTACTCTTCACCAAGTTACAACATAAGGTAAGGGGTAGGATAACTTTTATAATTCATTTTTGCTTGAAATAGCATTGAGAAGAAGTCCCTTACTTCTAAGTTAATTAGAAATTTATTTGGAATTATTTGAATGTCATTTCTATTTTTGATGAATTTTTAAAGTTTTAAGATTATGTGAAATTTATGGCTTCTAAATGGAGCAACTTGAGTGTATGGAACCTTGTATAATTATAAGGCATCCATGAATGTTGTTTGAATCGATTGCTTAATCATTAGTAATTTTATATGATTTATTGATGAATTTAGATTGAGAATTAGCCTATTTTTATGTTTAGTATTCTGATAATTGCTTTAAATTGATTATTGAGATATATTGTATGTATGTTATGAAGCATGATAAGTAGAAAATTATTGTGCAATGTTTTTGTTAAGATGGATTAGCATATAGAATTGCATTGTATAATTTGGTGGAATTGAGGAAAGGTGTGAGAAATGAACTATGTGAGAAAGAAAACTATTTTTTTTTATATATTAAATTGAATTTTATAATTTAATTATGAAGTGAATTTTTATATTTTTATTTAATTAATAAATATTTTTCAAAAGTATTGGAATAATTTTGATCTACGAGAAAACAAGTAATTGTAAGTGAAAATGAATTTTTAATAATTTTGAGGAAATTATTTGCAATTATTATTATTATTTAAGAAAAATAAATTAAAATTGAGAAAATTATGATTTTGAGTGATGATGAATATGATGAGGTGGAAGGATGGTTTGGTGAAAAGTAGAAGTGTTCTGGGCTATTTTTGGTTATTTTACAGGTGTTAAAAATTTTGGGAATGTCCGATTTACAGGGAAACTCTGTCATATTTTTCTTAAGAAATAACCTAGTATTATTTTGAAGAAGTTAAGATGTGATTTAAGTATAATGAGGTGAAACAAATTTGAAAAAGTGTGAAGAAGTTATGATAAGTCATGCATCATGTTCATGAGTCGGAGATTGAGTGTATGAGGAGGATATGGAAAATCGTGGTCGGTTCCATGCTAACCTCGAGGATGATTGAGTGTGATCGAGCTCATATGTGGCTCAGTGCTCGCTACCTAAGCCGTGAGACTCTCACTACCAAGCTTGATTATCCCGACTAAAGCCCCGGGGTTTCTCATGATCAGTTGAGTTGAACAAGTAATTATGAGTATACTACCGCAAGGCGGTGAGAGGTTCCAAGTGAAACTCCCGATCCTTCTCGAAAAGAAAAAAAAAGAAAAGAAAAGAGAAAGTGGTTTTGGGATCCCCATGGTCTTGCATACTAGGATGTGTCCTAGAAAAGATTAGTGAATACATTGCATTCATAATATCATATCATTTGTGTGCTAATTACTAGTATGTTTGTATATGTAATTTCTAATTAACCCAATGTTATTTGCATGCTCTAAGTGAATATAAAGTTGTCTTACCCTTTCGTGCATGTATTGTTATTATGAAATGTTTGCATAGGTGACGTTGAACACAACTCATCCCCGGTATCATCTCCAAGTAAAGTTTAAATACGATCACCGCAAGTATTAAGTAGAAGACTTGATCGGACACCACTACAATGCTACAAGAGATACTTCATTTTAGTGGACGTACAAAATATATCTCCTCTTTAGTTAGGTTGTATAATTAGTTTGTCTAGTTAGTTTGTTTGCTCTGGTATTGTGAACCCTTGTTAGGTGTATTTTGGGATGACTTTATGTATATTTACTATCTAGTTATACTTGACACTTATGAATGATATGTATATTAATCACTAAGTGTATGTCTTAATTATTGTGTACTTTACTTCTACAAGAGTGTATTGGTAATCAAATACTAAGAGGAACCAATAATAATTAATAAATCATAATAAAGTGAATGTTGGTATTAAAGGTGTCACACATCCAACATATAAATATATAAATATATAACTATATATATATATATATATATATAAATATATCAAAATATATAAATATATTTGTATTTATATATTCTATATTTATATATTTACACGAATATATATTTATTTGTATATAAATATAATTTATTTGTAAATTATTATAAAAAAATTAGAGTAGTTTAGTGGTTGGAGTATCAATTTTCAACTCTAAAATACCTGGATTTGAATATCGTCAGCTGACAATTCTCTAACTTAAGTGAATTTTTGAGACTGTAAGAAAAATATGTGTGAATTCAATTGTCTTATACTTTTTCTTATCAATAAATATATTTAAATCTAATTGATATATTTTCCTTCAATGATAGTATAATTAATTGATTTTTTAATCGAAAATGTTTTAATAATTTTAGATATTTAAAAGAAAAAGAATATTCTCTTAAAAATATAAGATATAGTGTAAATTTTATAAATATTATACTACTTTTAACTGCATTTCAAAAATAGTACATTTGTTTGACTCCATCATTAAATAATATAAACCGATCCATATTCTAGTATATTTTAAGGAAACATATTAAGTTGTTTTCTATTTATATTAATGAGATATAATAATTTTAAATTAATATAAAATATATATATATATATATATATATATATATATATATATATAATACTTTAGGTAATAAAACTTTTTATTAATATTATTTCCCTAACTTTCCGTTGTTAATTATATTAACGTATGAATGTGAATGATTGGAATCATTCTAAAACTTTTATAAAGAAATCATTAAATATCTTAAAAAGTTTTAAGACATTAAATATATTTTAATTTTTTATAAATAAGATACTAAAAAGATCACGTCGGGATTCTGAAATAATGGTTTAGATTTTAGAAATTAATTCGAGATAATTTCCATAAAGATTAAAAAGATAATGAAAGATAAAAAGGGAAATTAAAATCTCCAATATATAATTACATATTCATACCATTTAAGCGTCATCTTGCACTCATGCTATGTATATATAAAGTGAGGGAAACAGAGAAGCTTAACAGTGATATAATTCAGGGTTTTGCCAGCAGGAAAACTGTTATGCACCAAACAGAAAAGGAAGGTCAAAGATGTATGTATGCTTACATTTGAAGTAAATAGTAACTTTTTTTTTCTTTAATCATGAATTGTTGATGAAGTAATGTTATTTATGTTATGTATGTAGTTAAAAAACTTATGTTCATTGGATCCTTCGTTTTTTCATCTTCTTCCCAACACTGTGACAACAAGAACTTGATGACTTTGTGTTGTTAATTTTGACGTATATTTTTGTTGCAATCTAACTTATATAATAAATGTTGGCAGTTGTTGTTGTACCAGAAAATGGGTCGTGGAAGGATACCCATGGATCTCATTGAGAAAGAAAAGGCTCGGAAAACAACATTTCAAAAGCGAAAGACCGGATTAATCAAGAAAGTTTATGAGTTTTCCACCCTTTGTTCAGTTGATGTTGGTGTAATTATCTTTGCCTCCAAGTATCTTGATGAACCTGAAATATGGCCACAAGATCTAAGAGAGGTTAACTGAGTTATTCAAAAATATTTGAACACCACCAATGATAGGCGTCCAAAGGTGTATGATGTGGAAGAGTATTTCAGTGAAAGAATGAAAAGGATTGAAGGTGAGATTTCCAAAGTGCAGAAAGAGAAGATCCAAATCATGTACCCAACCTGGGATGACTCTTACAATGTTCTTGAAGAGGAACAACTGAGGATGTTTCTTAGTATTTTGGACGCTAAGCTTAATGCTTGTAACCAAAGGATGAATATGTTGAAGCGAGAGTCAAAGGAAAAAACAATAACAGACAAAGATGATCTACTTGTTCCCTCAGTAGCCCAACATAGCCATCACAATTTTATGCAGAACGTGTCTCAAACACAAATTTTCCCTCTTAATGATAACAGTCAAGTTCCATTTTATCCATGTCATCCAAGCCAAAGTTCTCTTTCTTCTTTGTTTCATTTTGGTCAAAATTGTACGCAATTGATAGAAAAGAATACAATGGTGGATTGGGGTCATCAGGTTGGGGCTGCTACAAGTGATCACAAACTAGTTATACAACAGGAGGATCGATCCGACAAAAACCAAAACTCCTCACATTGTTATTACAATGGAAATATGCAAACAACGCAGCTATATAACAATGTTTCTTTTCTGTACGATGCAGTTTTCCAGAACTTATCAAATCAAGCAGGACCATCACAAGGATTTGAACCTAATGGTTTTCATGATTCAACTATGTTTCAACCTTATTTTTTCAACTCTCTTCATAGAAGAAAGTAGGTTCCATTACTCGAATATGTTTTCTTCAGTAGTATTGTCAGTTTGGATTTTAATTTTCTTTGTTTTTTGAGCATTGTTTGGTTGAAAGAGTTACCAATAATTTTGTATCAATCTTTTGATTTCTTCATTACCCTAATGTTACTGCAATGATTCTTGAAAGGAAATTGTGTAAAATAAATACATGAAATAATATGTCTGAAAATATGTTTAAAATATGATTAATCTATAAATACATGAAATAATTTGTCTGAAAAAAATTATTATAATTTATATATTTAAAAAATAATAAAAATATGATAAATGAAAAAAATTAAAATAATATTTTAAAAAGTTAATTATATGAAAAATATGAACATATAAAGGCATTCAGTCGTAGTAGTGAAGGTAAAAAAAAAGTCAAGATATTTTTTTTTTTAAATTATAATAACACGGAATTTCAGTAGACTTTTAAATCAGAGAATTTGAAAAGAGTTTTAAATCTGCATGAATTTAACGGTAGTTTTAATTAAAGGGATTTTATAACTATGGGAAAGTTTATTGAATTTGACATTGTTCAAATCTATTTGTAACACTATATATTTAAGGATAAATTTAAAATGCGAGTAATGTATTTAAAAATAATAAAACAAAAAAATAACCCCTTAAAAATAATTTTTCTTGTATTAATTCGGAAGATAATTTTTAAAAAATAAAAAGTATTTTAAATATTCATAAAATATATAATTTATTTACATTAATATTTTAATTTAATTATAATTACATAATATTAATAAATTATATTATTATACATAAAATATGATAAGAATGAACTCTATTAAAAGGAAAATGTTAGCATATTAAATTGAAAATGTAAAATTTTATTTTAATGGTAAAACTTTTAGTAGTATGTCTGATTTTTAAATTTGTAATTATTCACGATTGCGTATTTATTGCGCATTTAATACATTATTTAGTTGTAATATATTATTTTAAATAATACTGAAACTGTTATAACACTAAAAAAAAACTTATTATCTACGGGTAAAATCCGTAGGTAATGCACTCATCTAAACAAAATATTTTTATTTATATTTTTTATTACTACCTAGGACCCCCTCCCCTTTATATTATATTTTCGAACTTTGAATTATTATTAGATTAAGGGAATTGTCATTGGCAGGATTTGAACCCAATACCTTAAAGTTGGAGGCCGATACTCCAACCACTAAGCTATTAGGATATTTTGATAATAATTTACAAATAAATTATATTTATATTTATCCGTGTAAAGATATAAATATAAAATATATAAATATAAAATATATTTATATTTTGATATTTTTATATATTTATATATTTGTATTTATATATTTATATTTATATATTTATATATTTATATTTATATATTTATGTATTTATATATTTTTGTATTTATATATTTATATATTTATGTATTTATGTATTTATGTATTTATGTATTTATGTATTTATGTATTTATATATTTATATATTTATATATTTACATATTTACATATTTACATATTTACATATTTACATATTTACATATTTACATATTTATATATTTTATATTTTATATTTATATTTATATATTTATATATTTATATATATATATATATATATATATATATATATATTTATATATTTATATATTTATATATATTTATATATTTATATATTTATATATATTTATATATTTATATATTTATATATTTATATATTTATATATTTATATATTTATATATTTATATATTTTATATTTTATTTTTATATATTTATATATTTTATATTTATATATTTATATATTTATATATTTATATATTTTATATTTATATATTTATATATTTATATATTTTATATTTATATATTTATATATTTATATATTTTATATTTATATATTTTATATTTATATATTTTATATTTATATATTTATATATTTATACATTTATATATTTATACATTTATATATTTATACATTTACACGAATAAATATAAGTATAATTTAGTTGTAAATTATTATTAGAATATCCTAATAGTTTAGTGGTTAGAGTATGAGTTTTCAACTTTAAGACATCTGGTTCGATTCTTGCTAATAACAATTCTTTTAGTTTAATATAATTACCTACGGAATTATCCACGGATTACATTACCTACGGATTATTTCCGTAGGTAATGGATAATTACCGTAGGTAATATCCGTAAGTAATGTAAAATTTACCTACGGATTTTTATCCGTAGGTAATGTAAAATTTACCTACGGATTTTTATCCGTAGGTAATATTCCATAGGTAATAGGCTTTTTTTTTGTAGTGTAACATATCAAGATAAATTTGATGGACTCTTGATAATACATTAAAATTTGTTAATAATATCCCTACCATATTATTACTTTTGGAATATAACACTACCTGAATAAAATAATATCCAAATTCATTATATTAAATATTTTTTTTAGTTTTTTTAATATTACTACATTTAAGGTTTTTAATTTTTTAGATTTTTTTTTCATATTATAAAATTTGTTTAATCTTAGTTTAAGAGATATATACTAGTAGTAAATTTGAGAAATCATTCTAAATTTTTAAGGGAATAAACATACGAGAAGATAAAAACAATAGAACAGTAATTATATATAATTTATCTACACCAATTAAATAAGTTAGAGAAAATGGTATCTAAAATTAGTAATTAGATATAGTTCATATAAACATTAATCTCATAAATTCAATTATTTGATAAATATATACATAGAAATATAATTATTTACAAATATGTTTTTAAAATAATATCATTTATAATTTAAAATAGATTATTATAAAAATTGTATAATTAAATATATATATATATATATATATATATATATTAATCAATCATACCTTTTACTTTTAAGATTAAAAGATTTTATGTTGATAAACCTTTCTATCCAAATACTTATTTGAAAAATATATATATAAAAAGATTATGTGATATATATATATATATATATATATATATATATATATATATATATATATTATGTGATAGAGTATAATTAAATAAATTTGGTAAGAGATCGTTGCTGAACTCTTATTGAAAATTTATAAGATAAGTTTAGTAATTTTGATTTTTCATTTTCTTAATTTATAAAATTGTTATTGTAAGAGTGATTGATATTGATGTTTGAAATAAAATAAAGTCATTAAATATAATATTAATTACCTTGCTAAAGTTTGAAATATTTGTTAACTATGTTTAATTATATGCTAATTTTAAATTAATTAATACTAATTTCATGATTATTTATAATTAGCATAGTAATTAATAATTTTAATTAACTAAAAATGTCAAAATACTATTAAATTAAACAATTTTACTTTAATTAGTTATTTTAAGGTTTATCAGATTGTGTATAGAATTTTTTTAAAAGACATACAAATTTGATTATTTAAGAATAATTAATTTTCACTTTCATGATTTATTTTCATATAATTATATTTAAATTTAATTTGATAATAAACTTATGAAGGGGTATTTCTAACAAATAATAATTGTGTCCATCACATGCTTATTATATCGTAGATTCAAAATTTCACACCACAATTATATGTTATTCCTTAAATAACCCATACTCCAATTCATGATGAAAATAAAATTTGAAAACGTACCTGAATTTGTCCTTGAAAATTATGTGATGATGAGATTAACATTAGGTATGTGATCTTCTAACTGTAGAGAAGGTCTTAGGTATTGTTTTTTGTTTTGTCTCCCAATGGGATGAAGAGAAAAGATAGAATAGAGTACGTACTACATTATGTATACGAGGAACATAACATGTTCTCTCTAAAAAGATAATGATAATTATTATCATAAAAGGAAATGCAACTCTAAGAATATAAGACAATGATTCTTGCGTTGTGACGCTAAAATCTGACTAAGACTTATGCGAATGAATTGTTAGAATGTAAAATCTATAGAGTTTATACTAATGTAAATTTTGAGATTGTTACCGTCGAGGAGTGTTCGCCTCTTGACTAAGTTTACATGAAACCTTTGATAGATTTGGAGAAGTTTACCTATGTTTATAAATGTCTATTTAAATATTTAGATATACTCATTCCCTTTTTTAATTTTGAATGTGATATGTTATCAATTTTATGCATAACTCCTAATGCAACTCTAAGAATATAAGACAATGATTCTTGCGTTGTGACGCTAAAATCTGACTAAGACTTATGCGAATGAATTGTTAGAATGTAAAATCTATAGAGTTTATACTAATGTAAATTTTGAGATTGTTACCGTCGAGGAGTGTTCGCCTCTTGACTAAGTTTACATGAAACCTTTGATAGATTTGGAGAATTTTACCTATGTTTATAAATGTCTATTTAAATATTTAGATATACTCATTCCCTTTTTTAATTTTGAATGTGATATGTTATCAATTTTATGCATAACTCCTAGCTAGTTACATCTGAACGGTGTGACTTTCTCATAAGCCTTTCAAATTATTTGGAACCTTCTTAACATTGTCCCACTATAAAGAAACTTATGTATTTCTACAAGCTAAAGCATGGTCACGAGGTCAATTGGGTCTCTTTAAATGGTTCCCAACACAATGGTCTATTTACATTCTTCTCCTCATCCTTTAAACATTTAAAATCCTGCTTCTTTAAAATAAAATGTGCTCGAGAGGACACAACTCGCCATTTGTTCCTTAATCTCGACCATTATCCTCATTTTTCGCTATACTCGGCGAAGTTCTCCACAAATTTAAATCTCGAACCCAAGAACGGATCTTGACCATTGATCTTGAAGGGACCAAATAATATATTATTAATAAATAATAAATAAATATAAAATAAAGTAAGAAGATGAAAATGTGAAATGATAAAATTGTAAATATATACTTAAATATATTAAATTATCATTAAATTTGAGAGGGACAATATCATAAATTATAAATTATATGAGAGTTACAAAACTGAGTACGGGCTCTGAGGATAAAATTGTAAATATACAAGTAAAGATATTAAATGTTCATTAAGTTTGGGGGGCCAAAATCATAAATTACATGAGAATTATAAAATTTTGGGGGGGGGGCCACGACCCCCCTCAGCTCCCAAGAAGATCTGTCACTGCTTGAATCGAACATCTCTTAACTTCAGAGGACAAGGTTGACATCCAAATATTAACAAGTTTTCCTCGACCCATCCACTGTCATGATCTTTTCTCCATCCCCTTTGTAGAGGACCCAAGAGCTCAGTTCTTAGGTAAAACTAGGAATACTCTATTGCTTTATTCATTATATTTTATTGGATTTTCAAGGTGACCAACATGATCTCGAATTTTTTGGATTTGATGACTATATCATCTACATACACTTCCATTATATCATCAATCTAATGTTTAAATACCTTATCTATTTGTCTTTGGTACATCGCCTCAGTGTTCTTAAGGCCAAAGGACATTTATTTATAATAACAATTAACTTCTTTAGTAATGAAAGTCGTTACTTCCTCTTTGGAAGGATACATGGGTATCTGATTATACTCATACTCAGAATATGCATCTAAGAAACTTAGTACTTCAGAAGTATTATCCACTAAGCGATCAATGCTTGATAATGGATAAGAATTTTTTGGACAAACTTAATTAAGATATGTCAACACAAACGTAATTCACCACTAGATTTTTTTTTTTTCCGAAAACCACATTTACTAGTAAAGTTGTATAAGTTACATTAGGAATAAACTTGACTTTCATTAATTGTGTCCATCACATGCTTCTACCAATACATATCCAAAATTCACAACACAATTATATGTTATTCCTTAAAAAATCCATGCTCCAATTCAAGATGAAAATAAAATCTAGAAAGCGTACCTAAATTTATCATTGCAAATGTCTTTCAAATGTAAAGGACCTTAAGTATTATTTTTTATTCTTTCCTGGCATAAGAATGAAGTGAAAAGATAGAATGGAATGCGAAATACTACATTCCCTGTAAATGAGAACTATAACCCATTTTGTAACACTTTATAATTTTAACTAAACAATCCTAACCCATTTAAATGATGTATGTGCGACCAAAAATACTAACAATTTAATTTTAATTATGATATTATTTAATACACATTTAAATTTTAAATTTAAAAATTACTTTAATATCAGAATAATTGAATTTGAAAATTTAGATCTTATTTAATTACTGTCATTATAATTTATTTTAATTTGTATAAATAGAATTATTAAAATATTGGTGGATTATAATAGTAGCTACGGTAAAAATAAATAATAATAGTAATACTGAAATATTTTTATAATAATAATCGTAATAAAAATAAGTAATAGTAGTATATTTTTATTATTATAAATTAATAATAATTGTTAAATATAATTTAATATCAATATTAATATTAAATAAATAAATAACAAAACTTATATATTCACAAACATAAATTAATATAAAATAAATAACAAGACTTATACAATAAATTTTACTATTTCTATCATATATTAAATATTGAATCGCAATAATTAATATAACATTACTTAACCATATATAAAATATATAAAAGTTATAGATAAATAAGTCAAATTATTATCATAAATAATAAATATAAATAAGATTCTAAAAAATATAGAGTCTGACTCTTTAATAACAATAAAATATGTTAAACATCCAATTTAATCTATATTTTAAAATAAATTATAAACTTTTTATAATTTGATTTTATATGAAAGTAATAAACTCACCTATCAATTTTGTCTCGATTAAAAATTAATATATTTATATTAAAATAATAAATTAAAAAATTTAAATAAAAATTAAAAATAAAATATATTTTTAGAAATTAAATTATATTAATAAACTAAATTTTTATTTTTATATAATAATTTAATATATATTATAAAAATAAATTTATTCAATTTCAAAATAAAAATTAAAAACCTAATATTCATTATTATTATTTATTTTTCTTTTTAATTTATCTTAGATCTTATAATAAGTTAATATTAGAAACATAAGTTTACATCTATTCTCAAAATTACTAAATCATGTATTAAATTAATTTATTTTATATATATAATAATAAAATAATATTTTTTTTATTATAAAAATAATTATATTATTTTATAAAAATTGTTTTACTTATAAGTCTATAAATTAGTTTGATGTTAAGTGATGATTTAAATAGACATAATTTAATTTAAATTATAATTTTTTTTATCTATCCTATTTTATTTCTCATCTATTTTAGATCATACTATCTTGGCCCCACTTTTTTCTCTCTCCTTCCCACTTGGTCTCACTTTCTTTTTTTCTAGTATAAACTTTTCATATTTTAGACCTAACTACTCCATCTCTAACAAGCCCATACTCACTTGTCACCCTATGATTCTTGTTAGGAGTCCTATCATTGCTAGGAGTCCTATCATTGCGTATCTTCTAATGTTGTTGTCTTTGTTTGGTGAAGTTTTTATTGTAAATTTTGTTTTGATGAATGTTTTTGTGACTTCAGCTCCTAAATCACATTCAACCTTTACATGATTATTTTTAAGTTTCCAAAGACACACGCTATTCTTTTTTTCTCTTGTTTTCAGCTGTAAACTGACATTAAGTTCACATGACCTGCAGGTTGCCCTGTTTGTTGTTTTACCAATGGTATTGTGCCGGAAGCCTGATGCTCTTATTACCGTGTTGCCTACATTGAGGGAGAATACAAAAGTATCAAGGGCAAGATAAGCTTCCAGTGATTGTATGGATGATATCTCAGGTGAGGGATAAATGCCAAAAATAACAAGAGATCCTGTAAGAAATCCCCTAAAAACTGAGTTGTTTGAGTTTTAAGGGAGAACCTTATCATTTCATTTTCCCTTCATTTTGTTAATGCTTAGTATTTCTTTCTAGGCCTCTATAGGAGATCTCTCAATAGGTTTGTATGCTTGGTCACGAAATCTCCTACCCATAGTGATTGGCAAAAGTGGTAACCCCCAATCCAGGGATTTGGTTTTGCAGCTGATGGAAAAGTATGAAAGCATAATTACCTTATTTTTTTTACATCTCCATCTCATCTTTGCTATTATCATCACCATTGTGCTGTATGTGATTTGGTGGCAGAATTTTGTCTACTCCAAAAGCCCGGCCTGTTCTAGTACATAGTGCTGTGAGAAAAGGGGAACGATTAATTCCTCCTCCTGCATTTGAAATTTTGCTCCGGGTTACTTTCCCTCCATCTTCAACTAGAGTAAAGGTAGATATGTTCAGCAGGATTTATATGTTTGTATATAATTGTATCATAGCTCAAAATCTTCAAAATATATGTAAGTATGCTACATTTATATAGGCTACTGAAAGATTTGAGGCCATATATGCCATTCTGAAAGAGGTGGTCTTGGAGGTTCTTCTGGAAGTAAAGCAATGAAACAAGTTTCGCTGCAGATATTCAATTTTGCTATCAAAGCAGCTGGAGAAAGTACGCAAACCTGATTTTATTATTTTATTTGTGTCTCTTTCTCATATTTAATGAAATAAATGTTGTGTATTCTAAAAACATGCTGTATTTTTCAGACAATCCCGAGTTATCAAAAGAAGCAGTTGGTATTTTAATTTGGTGTTTGAGTCAAAACACAGAATGCTACAAGCAATGGGTGAGTATTTTTGTGTAGATTATGCAAGCTATTGATTTTTATTTTGGATAGAACAAGAAAACTTATTATAAGGAACAATTCTTTGCATTGTTTTTATAATATATATGGCAAACTTGATAATGGTTCTCGTATTACAGAAAGACTGAAAGTGTTAATCTCTAACTAAACCCAATACACCTAATCATCTATGCCAATCTCTTCATGGCTGCCAAGCCAAATTATGATAACATATCACATTCAAAAATAGAAAAAGAAAGGAGTATATCTAAATATTTAAATAGAGATTCATAGACGTAAGTAAAATCATTCAAATCTATCACACGTTTTATGTAAGTACAAACTCTATAGATTTTATAGTTATCTTCTACTAAGGAGGCAGAAGTGAGCTCGGAAGCATAAAAATCGACCTCAATGGATACTCAGAGACTGAAATAGGACATAAACGTGTTCTCCGACTACCCCTTCTGAGGAGAGGAGCAATAGTAGTTGGAGGTGGCGTGAGCACCTTAACCCTTGAGTCGGAATTCGTGGAACTCTCTTTTCCAACCGATTCAATGCTGATAGGGGAACTTCATGTTCACCCATCAAGGGTTGAACAAAATTGTCTGAATCCTAAAGAACGAGAAACAAACATTATGATAGAAAGTAAAAAGAAGATATGTGTACGTAGATTTGGAAGACGAGAACGACTCGGGGGAGGGTGAGAAGAGAAATAACTCCAAAGACTCAAAAGGGTACAAATGAGAAAAATAATTAAAAAGTAATATATTAAGGCTTGATGTAATTTTCAAGGAGGAAAACCCTTGATGGCGTATTAAATGTAGTAAAAATCCCTTATTAAGTGTGTGTTAAGGTAATCATAATGCGTGTAAGAATGAGAAAGATTTTGCCTATAATAAATTGGTCACAATAGTTTAGTAGTTCACTTCATAGAAACACTAGTGTAAAAAAGGGTTTTTACGTCAGGTATTTTGGCTTTTTTATGTCGCATTTAAGACTGACGTTAAAATGGGAGACGTAAATTTACGTCAGACCTTTAGCCTGACGTAAATTCACGTCAGTTATTTAGACCCGACGTTAATTTACGTTGTATTTACACTAAATAAACGTAAAAAGTATCAAAAATTAAAAAATTTGGAGCAAATTTACGTCACGTATTGGTATACGCGACCTAAATTTACGTCACGTATATCAATATGCAACGTAAATTTGCTCTTTTTTTAAAAAAAATTGGGTTTATTTTGTCTTACAACCAAAACCTGCAAATATATATTATAACCAAACAGATCCGGAGGTTCATGTTTCTTTAGCTATGTAATTAAAAAATATAATATTATATATAATTCAAACTACATAATAAAACAATATAATACAAACAATAACCTACAAACTAAAATCTATTACAAACTAAAAGTTAATACAAACTAAAGTTAGTACAAACTAAGCTACCTAAACTACATAATACACACAATATAATATAAACAATAACCTAAAAAATTAAGTACTAGAATTATTGAACGAAAAACATTGCCCATTATTCTCTAATTTGTGTGATATCATATTCGGGCAACGAAGATGGATCTTGAAATACCTGAAACATTAATTTGACTCTTGTAAACATGCAACACACATAAAAGTTAAATAAACTTAACTAATGTTGAAAGCAATTACCTCCATTTAAGAATCAGTTATACCCGCATAAATTATGACTCTCATCCAATACATAACATAGTAACCACATTCAAATGAGTCTCGTTTGCTTATTACACCGAAATGATGAATAAAATATAATGTTATTTTCAAAATTTAAATACAAACAATAATTATGGTATTCACTTATTATAATAAGTTTCTAACCTTAGGATAAATGAACTACAAAGTCTTTGTTCTAGGTTTTCCACTTAGAACATTAGTTATAGACACGATTCTAAATGAAAAAAAAAAGTCATATATTATTCAATACCTTTTCCATTTTCACTAGCAAATTTCAAAAATTCATCAACTCCCTTTTCGTACTTTTCATTAATACGACGTGCATTCATCCAACTTCGATTCATATTATGTTATAAAGTTTCATCACTCCTAGAGATTCAAAATTTATATTTAAAAATAAATTAATATACAAACAACAAAACACATAAATGGAGTGTGTAAACCGAAAATGCACTCAAACAAAATAATGAAATTCCAATAACAATTCAGTGGAGACATTCATACAATGACGTGATTGAGATCCCCAAAAACAATCACAGATTCAATTTGAACATATATCAGGAGACATAGAACACTAACCTCGAGTAAACACGAAAACGATTTCAAACTCGAATCCAATCGGGGAGAAATGTCAAATTCGTAAAATGAGACACAATGTTGATGTTCTTTACTGCCAAAATGATCGAAAATGGTGTGGAAAGGTAGCTGTCGTCATCGTTCTCATCGTCGTTCTAAAAAACCCTTGCGGCACGAGATGCGGGAGTGGGTCTGGAAGAGAATAAAAAGAACTTTTTACGTCGCATACCCTAGCACGTGACGTAAAAAGCCTCTTTTACGTCGCTTGGGGGTGCGCGACGTAAAAAATGATACTTTTTACGTCAAATGGGGGTGCGCGACGTAAAAAGTACATGTAACGTAAAAAGTATCACTTTTTACGTCGCGCACCCTCCATGTGACGTAAAAAGTAATACTTTTTACGTCGCACACCCCCACGTGACGTAAAAAGTATAACTTTTTATGTCACGCACACCTCACGCGACTTAAAAAGCCCTCTTTTACGTCGTGTTGTATTAGGTGCGACGTAAAAGAGGTTTTTAACGTCACCTCCTACAATATGTGACGTAAAAGTTTCACCTCTTATTTACAAAATTATCACCGCGTTTTATTTACGTCGAATATTTTGACATGCGACGACAATTGGGTGACGTAAAATGTCATTTTTGCACCAGATGAAAGAATGCTTTATTAAAATATAATTGAAATATTAAGATTATTATTGCCTCAATTAAATTCATTAATTGATCAGTTACATATTTATCATAATTGATAATAATGTGAAACTTTACTATGTCTTTTCAAATTTTGATATTATTTTTATAAATTGATACTTGTGATAACTTATATATCGAAGAAAATACCTCATTTAAAAGTTGACTTAAACATTGAAGTTTTTAGCTGAGACTTTTCACCTTTTTACCAAAGATCCAACAACTTGGTCATATTGACTCTCAACAACTCAACCATATTAATTCCTAAACCTAACAATCCAGTCACATAAGTCTTAGTTAGATTTTAGAATCAGAACACAATAATCATTGTCTTATATCCTTAGAGTTGCATTTCCTTTTATGGTAATAATTATCATTCTCTTTTTAGAGAGAACATGTTATGTTCCCCATGTATAGGGAATGTAGTAGTATGTACTCTATTCTATCTTTTCTCTTCATCCCATTGGGAGAAAAAACAAAAAACATTACCTAAGACCCTCTCCACCGTTAGAATATCACATACCTAATGTTAATCTCATTATCACATAATTTTCAAGGAAAAATTCAGGTACGTTTCCACATTTTCTTTTCATCATGAATTGGAGCTTGGGTTATTTAAGGAATAACATATAATTGTGCTGCGAATTTTGGATCTATGTGGACACAATTATTATTTGTTAGAAATACCCCTTCATAAATTTATTATCAAATTAAATTTAAATATAATTATATGAAAATAAATCATGAAAGTAAAAATTAATTATTCTTAAATAATCAAATTTGCATGTCTTTTAAAAAAAATTTATACACAATGATAAACCTTAAAAGAACTAATTAAAGTAAAATTGTTTAATTTAATAGTATTTGACATTTTTAGTTAATTAAAATTATTTATTACTATGCTAATTATAAATAATCATGAAGTTAGTATTAATTAATTTAAAAGTATTATATAATTAAACATAGTTAACAAATATTTCAAACTTTAACAAGGTAATTAATATTAATATTATATTTAATGACTTTATTTTATTTCAAACATCAATATCAATCACTCTTTAAATAACAATTTTATAAATTAAGAAAATGAAAAATCAAAATTACCAAACTTATCTTATAAATTTTAAATTGGAGTTCAGCAGCGATAATTGATTTTGTATCTGTTACCAAATTTAATTAATTATAATCTATCACATAATATAATATATATATATATATATATATATATATATTAATTTATACAATTTTTATAATAATCTATTTAAATTATAAATGATATTGTTTTAAAAACATATTTGTAAATAATTATATTTCTATGTATATATTTATCAAATAATTAAATTTATGAGGATTAATGTTTATATGAACTCTATCTAATTAGTAATTTTAGATACAATTTTCTCTAACTTATTTAATTGGTGTAGATAATTATATATAAGTATCCTTTTATTGCTTTTATCTTTATTCTCTTGAAAATTTAAAGTGATTTTTCAAATTTACTACAAGTATATATCTCTTAAACTAAGATTAAAAAAATTTTATACTATAAAAAAATTAAAAATTAAAATCCTTAAATGTATTAATCACAGAAAAATTAAAAAAAATATTTAATATAATGAATTTGGATATTATTTTATTCCGGTGTGTTATATTCTAAAAATAATAATATGGTAGGGATATATATACATAGTATGAGAACAAAATGACACTTAAATGGTCTGAATATGCGATTATATATTTGAGATTTTAATTTTCTTTATTATCTTTTTAATCTTTATGAAAATTATTATTTA